TCCCATGTGTATGGATATAATTAAATTTGGTTATTTTTCTCTTGTTAATTTGTCTCATCTTGATGTAATTATTAGACCAGCTGATATAACCTGGAAGAGTAATTTTTTTCTTCCCAACAGAGCACTAGTGATGGGAGTTGTAATTATAGATGGGTGGTCAGAGTTAGCCTCATTGGAAATGTGACATTTAGGACTGCCGGCCAAGATGGAGGGATAGGTGGAAATACTGTACCAAATTTAAGGGCAACAAAGATTTAGAAACAAAAACACAACCAAAACAGACAGAAAATTGAACTGTACCGAAGTCCAACAACAAGGAACCATTTATCCACACCAGTAAGAGGGGTGAAGTTGGTGGCCAGCAGAGAGGGGTCCTGCAGGAAAAGGCGACGGTTGGTGACCCGGGTGGGTGCGGGGACGAAATAAGCAGACACAGTAAGGCTCACAGGGTGGCTGGGTGACTGTGGACACACATTTGCTTGCAGATAAACCAGGCAAAAAAACGGGCAGTGAGTTAGGCCACGAAACCCAGGGCCCCAGCAATAAGAAATAAAGCCTAGCCCTGGCTGGTGTAGCTCAGTGGATTGAGCGCAGGCCTGCGAACCACACAGTCGCGGTTCGATTCCCAGTCAGGGCACATGCCTGGGTTGCAGGCCCGTTCCCTGCAGGCCAGTCCCCAGCAGGAGATGCACAAAAGGCAACCATACATTGATGTTTCTCTCCCTCTCTCCTTCCCCCCTTCCCCTCTAAAGATAAATAAATAAAATCTTAAGAAATAAAGCCTAAAAGCACCAGTTGGATAAACTTTCAGGGGTTGAGGTGCCGAGAGAGGCTCCCAGCCTCACAGGAGAGTTCATTGGAGACACCCACAGGGGCCTAGAACGTACAGAAGCCCACCCACCCGGGAACCAGCACCAGAAGGGCCCAATTTGCTTCTGGGAAGCAGAAAAGGGGACTGAAATTGGAGAGAAAGTGGAACAAACATCATTGCTCCTTCTCTGACCACGTCCCCAGTCACAACCCAGAGACTGGGTTGACCCGCCCCCGTGAACACCCAAGCTTTCCCCCTCATACATAATAAGCACGAACAGACGACATATGGCTCAAGAAGAAGAACAGCTCAAAGCCTCAGAGCCAATACTTCTAAGAGACCAAGAGATGTCCAACCTATCAGATGCACAATTCAAAATACTGGTCATCAGGATGCTCACAGAACTGGTTGATTTTAGCCGCAAATTAGATAAATAAATGAAGTGAAATGAAGGAAACCATACTAAGTGAAATGAAGGAAAACGCACAGGGAACCAATAGTGATGGAAACAACACTGGGACTCAAATCAATGGAGTGAACCAGAAGGAAGAAACAACCAACCAACCAGCCAACCAGAGAAGAATGAAGAAACAAGAATTCAAAAAATGAGAGGCTAAGGAAACTCCAGGACATCTTTAATCATTCCAACGTCTGAATTATAGGGGTACCAGAAGGAGAAGAGGAAGAGCAACAAGTGGAAAAGTTATTTGAACAAATAATAAAGGAGAACTTTCCCAATCTGGCAAAGGCAATAGACTTCCAGGAAATCCAGGAAGCTCAGACATCCCAAAGACAGTGGACCCAAGGAGGAACACACCAAAGCACATCATAATTACATTACCCAAGATTAAAATGAAGGAGAGAATTCTAGAAGCAGCAAGACATAAGGGGACAGTCACCTACAAAGGAGTCCCCATCATACTGTCAGCTGATTTCTCAAAAGAGACTTTACAGGCAAGCAGGGCCTGGAAAGAAGTATTCCAAGTCATGAAATCCAAAGACCTACATCCAAGATTGCTCTATCCAGCAAAGCTTTCATTTAGAATGGAAGGGCAGATAAAGTGCTTTTCCGATAAGGTCAAGTTCAAGGAGTTCATCATCACCGAGCCCTTATTATATGAAATGTTAAAGGGACTTATCTAAGAAAAAGAAGATAAAAAAGATGAACAGTGAAAGGACAGCAAACTCACAGTTATTAACAAGCACACCTAAAACAAAAAGCAAACTAAGTGGACAGCTAGATCAGGAGCAGAGCCACAGAAATGGAGATCACATGGAGGGTTAGCAACAGGGGAGTGGGAGGAGGAGAAGGGGGGAAAAGGTACAGAAAATAAGTAGCATAGATGGTAGGTAGAAAATAGACGGGGAGGGCAAGAAAAGTATGGGAAATATAGAATCTAAAGAACTTGTGACACATGGACATGAACTCAAGCAGGGGAATGGGGGGAGGGGGTGTGCAGGATGGAGGGGGAATGAAGGGGGGAACATGGCATAATCAATAAAATATTTTTTAAACAAGAATGTATAGGTTGTGTAACTCTAAAAGAAAAAAAAAGGGAAATGTGACATTTAGACCAAGCTTAAAGGCAATAAGAGGGAAATTGGAGACAACTGTAGTTGAACAACGATAAAATTTAAATAAATAAGTAAGTACGTAAATAAATAAATAAATAAATAAATAAATAAATAAATAAATTCAGTAAGAAAGTTAGCCAAGTGATTATCTGGGAGAGGAGAGTTCAAGGCAGAAGAAATGGCAGTGAAAATATCCTAACATGGAAATATAACCTGCCATTTGGAGGAATGAGAAAGAGTTCAGTATGTAAATAAGCAAAAGAGTAGGCAGTGAAGTCAGGGAGATAATTAGGAGTCAGATGTTGTGGAGCCTGGCAAGCCACTGTAAGACTTTGGCTTTACTTTAAAAGAAATGGAGACAGCCAGATGGTTTTGAACAGGGATGGGCCAAGATCTAAATTACCTTTTAAAGCATGCCTCTGAATGCTTTGTTTAAAATAGACTGTGGGGGGGCCTGACCAGGAAGCTCAGTTGTTTAGAGCATTGTCCTGATATACCACCAAAGTTGTGGGTTTGATCCTTTATTTTAGGGCACGTACAAGAATCAACCAGTAAATACATAAATAGGTCAAACAACAAATTAATATGTGTGTGTGTGTGTCTCCTCCTTTCTAAATCAATGAATAAAAGATTAAAAAGTAGATCGTTGGGGTCAAGAGTAGGAAACGTATTAGGAAGTTACTGAATAAATCGAGTTGCAGGTGGTGATGGTGGCTTTGACTATGGTGGTAGCAGTGGAGATACTGAGTAGGGGTCAGATTCTGGATCTCCTTTCATAGTAGAGCCAATATTGGCATTCTAGTTTATAAATACTTAATTTGTAAATTTGGTCAGTAGGAATCTGTCCCACATGATTGGTACTTATGAGGTGTACTGATGAAAGTTTTGGACTGCCAAAGCCATAATATACAGTGTAGTGTTTTTCATATGTATACATTATGCCCAGAAAAAGTCCAGCCATTGTTAATATAATAAGAATGGTTTGCATGACATTGATGTAACCTGGCAGCCAAGGAGAGTGGACTGGAATGCACATGTGTGAACAATAACAACTTCACTGAACTAGTCAGTGGAGGTGGTAGACAGTATTGAATGGGCGTGTGTACTGTGTGGCTGTCACATTCAAAATGACTGAGGGAGTAGAGAAACATACCTGCATCAGATTTTGTGTTAAAATTGAACATTCCTCCATGGAAACTATTTGTATGATTCAGAAGTCTGCAGCTATGGCCAGCTGGTGATTGGCAGATTCATCGCGACAGGTAACCCACTTATGCATCACAACTTGTGCAGAGTTTTTTGTCAAAACATCAAATCACCAGGTGATTCAGCCCTGCCCATAGTCGACATCTGGTGTCCTATGACTTCTGGCTTGTCCTAAAACTAAAATCACCTTTGGAAGAGGAGAGATTTCAGGCTATCTATGACATTCAGGAAAACATGACAGGACAGCTGATGGAGATTGAAAGGAGGTCTGTGTGAGGTCCCAAGGTGCCTACTTTGAAGGGGACTGAGGTATCATTGTCCTATGTACAGTGTTTCTTGTAGCGTGTATCTTCTTCAGTAAACGTCTCAATTTTTCATAGTACATGGCTGGATACTATCTGTACAGACTTCATATTCCTCTGCCTTAATCATTCCAGGACCAGGTACCAGACAACTAGAGACCACCTTTATAGCCCATAACCCCCCACTCCCCTACAGAGTTATTCACACTATCCAATCCTAAATCTGCTCAGCTGCTTCCCTTGCCTCATGTTTCCTTTCGTACACACATACACGTATACCTACATATGAATATATACATGTTTTATATTTTATTTCCCACTACCTAAATTGTGAATCCTTTGAACTAGAGGTAGTTTATAATATAATTTATTTTGTGTACATCTCCATACTGTGTATAATACTAAACTCATAGTATTCTGTAGACTCCATTAATTTCAGTTGAATTTCTATTGGTTCACACATCATTCTAGCCATAAATCCAGGAATAGGAAGGGATTAAGAGTGAAAAATACCAAAATTGAAAAATTTTCTAACATTCTAAGTCAGACATTCATTCATGCATCGGCTTCAATTTTGGTGTATAATTTTATGATAACATTACCTTTGTTTAAATGTATATCTGTATTTAAAGGTATATACATTTTTAAATATAGATGGAAATATTTATTTCAAAGCAGAAAGTATACATGATTTTTAAATGTTTTATTTTATTTTTAAAAGATTTTATTTATTTTTAGAGAGTGGGGAAGGGAGGGAGAAAGAGGCAGAGAGAAACATCGATGTGAGAGAGAAACATCCATGAGTTGCCTCTTGGACACCCCCAAATGGGGACCAAACCCACGAGTCAGGCATGTGCCCTGACTGGGAATTGAACCAGCGAGTTTTTGCTTTGTGGAATTACACCTAATGAACTGAACCACACTAGTCAGGGCAAATGTTCTTTATTTTTAATTTACCACTTAAATATTATGGTCAGTTTTGCTGTTTTTCAGTAGCTAGTCAATGTAACCATGTGGAAAAACCTCTTGTTAATATTATAATACACATTTCTAGGATATTTCTAATATTAAAGAAACTAATTTTTGGTCTTTTTTCTCTTTTGAAGATACTTATGACTTGGAACCTGCATCTGAATTAGGAGAAGACTTATTGAAACTTTACGTGAAACATTGTTGCCCAGATATTGATATTTATGTTGATGGAAAAAGTTTTAAAACTCACAGGTAAATAGGCATGTGACTGATTTGGTGTCTTGGTTGTGACAGTATAAAGTGTGAAATGGTGACTATCCTTTTCTAGCCCAGTGACTTTCAAGCTATGATTCACCTAGGCCAAACGGTCTGGGATGTTGCCTCAGGGGGTTTCTGACAGGGAAGAGGTGGTCCATCAGGCAGAATTTTCTGCCTGCAGGTGCACACATGTACACATGCCTCCTTCCAGACGTGCACATGCTTCAGCCAGAGCAGCTCTATGTTTTGCATTGGGCATGAACCTAAGATTTCATTAGAAGAAAATATTCTGTTGCCTAAAATAGGTTTGCAAGCCACGGTCACAAAAAATGTAATTAAATGCAGTTTTTAATTTCACAGGCATTGTCGTATTGAGAAAGATTATTTCCACATGAATGACATGTATTTTCTCTGAATGCATTTTGGCTGAATCTTTCATTCAAAATGGATGATTCTCATGAATAGCATTGATTAGGAGGTTTAATATTTCAATGTACTAAAAAAATATTATTCTCCTTTAAAATTAGGTTGCTTAGACATTCCAGGCTTTCAAATTAAAGCCTGCTGCCTGTTTTGGTCAGGTTCTTTTTTGCAAGTAACTAAAATCAGCTTAAAAGAAGTGAAAAAATTAATAAAAAATACAGATATTCTGTTGGAACTCAAGAGGAAAAAGAGTAGCTGGGCCTCACAATGGACTAGAATTGGAATTGGAAATCTGAGGAAACCAGACAACTCTTCTCTTTCCCTCTCTGTGTTTCAGATAGAATGTTGGTAAGTTATTCTGGTGCTCCTGAAGAGGATGAATCAGACTGTTTGCAGTGGCAAGAAGCAGTCTTCAAGGTTCAAGGGTGCAGGGCCTGAATAATATTAGCAGTGGGTTTAGATTTCAGGAATCTGCCAAGCCAAACAGTAGTGATGTCTGTGGTTTCAAAAATCATACTGGTTTTGCCAGTTAATTAACAGTATGTTGCTAAACTTGAGGTTTGCCAGTTGCATCCAGACTGTTTACCATTTAGAATTTGAACTTTTTTCTCTGGGAACATATGTTTTTAATTACATATATACACATATATATGCCTTCTTAATTTTAATAAAATCTGTATTATATATAATAAAATACAGTATAATACAGAGTTATCAATATATTTTCTATATCATGGATACACTAGTGTATTTCCTAGTTAATGGTGTGTGTATGTGTGTGTGTGCGTGTGTGTGTATTTTTGGTGGGGAGGAACCCACACAATTTTATTTTTATTTTTATTTTTATTTTTTAAATATATTTTATTATGCCATTACAGTTGTTCTATTTCCCCCCTTCATTCCCCTCCACCCTGCATACCCCCTCCCCCACCATCCCCCCTTTAGTTTATGACCACGTGTCTCAAGTTCTTTAGGTTCTATATTTCCCATACTATTCTTGCCCTCCCCTATCTATTTTCTACCTACCATCTATGCTACTTATGTTCTGTACCTTCTCCCCCCTTCTCCTTCTTCACTCCCCTGTTGCTAACCCTCCATGTGATCATCATTTCTATGGTTCTGCTCCTGATCTAGCTGTCCTCTTAGTCTGCTTTTTGTTTTAGGTGTGCTTGTTAATAACTGTGAGTTTTGCTGTCCTTTCACTGTTCATCTTTTTAATCTTCTTTTTCTTAGGTAAGTCCCTTTAACATTTCATATAATAAGGGCTTGGTGATGATGAACTCCTTGAATTTGATCTCATCTGAGAAGCACTTTATGTGCCCTTCCATTCTAAATGAAAGCTTTGCTGGATAGAGCAATCTTGGATGTAGGTCCTTGTCTTTTATGACTTGGAATACTTCTTTCCAGCCCCTTCTTGCCTGTAAGGTCTCTTTTGAGAAATCCACTGACAGTCTGATGGGAACTGCTTTGTAGGTGACTGTCCCTTATCTCTTGCTGCTTCTAGGATTCTCTCCTTCATTTGAATCTTGGCTAATGTAATTATGATGTGCCTTGGTGTGTTCCTCCTTGGGTCCACTGTCTTTGGGACTCTCTGAGCTTCCTGCATTTCCTGGAAGTCTATTTCCTTTGCCAGATTGGGGAAATTCTCCTTTATTATTTGTTCAAATACGTTTTCCACTCGTGACTGTTCCTCTTCCCCTTCTGGTACCCCTATAATTCGGATGTTGGAACATTTAAAGATGTCCTGGAGGTTCCTAAGCCTCTCCTCATTTTTTTGAATTTTTGTTTCTTCATTCTTTTGTGTTTAGTCATTTTTTTCCTCCTTCTGGTCCACTCCTTTGATTTGAGTCCCAGTTTCCTTTCCATTACTATTGGTTTCCTGTGTATTTCCCTTCATTTCAATTAGTTTGGCCTTCATACGTTCCTCTAACTTGTGACTAAAATGAACCAGTTCTGTGAGCATCCTGATCACCAATGTTTTGAACTGTGCATCTGAAACTTTGGCTATTTCTTGGTTGCTTAGAATTATAGGCTCTGGGGATTTGAGCTGTTCTTAAGCCATAATGTTTTGGTCTGTTTGCACCTGTAATGTATGAGGGGCTGAGCCTTAGGTGTTCACCAGGGCGGGGCAACCAAGTGGCTGGGTTGTGATGCTATATGTGGGGGCGGGGTCAGAGAGGGACAATGGTGGTTCCCCCTGCCACTTCCCGTCACTGGGACCTGTGCGATCCATCTCACTGCTAGCTCCTTCACTGGTTTATCTGTGCGCGAATGTGTGACTGTGGTCAGCCCTCAGTGGGTCCACCCGCTTCTCCACACCTGGGATCTGCCCACGGCTGCTGGCGCACCTGGGTCGGGCGCCCGAGTTGGTCTGGTGGATCTTTCCTGCCTGACCCCGCTCTGCTGCTGGCTCTGCCTCTCTTACCGGTTTGGCTGAAGGGTTTGTTGTTGTCAGATTTCCGTGTAGTTCAATTTTCTGTGGTTTGGCTGCGTTTTTGTTGCTAAAACTTTGTTGTTTTTAAACTTGGTTGTGTGAGAAGGTGCAGTGCTTCCACCTACGCCTCCATCTTGGCAGAAGTGATCTTATTTTTAAAACAAATTTAATTTAATTTTGTGTCCAGGTTTTTCTTGATACAATATGGACATCCTAATAAAGTAATACTGATAGAGTCCTAACACTATTGTTATCATACAGAAAGCAATGACCATTTGCAATATATCCTCAGTATCTGTCTTTGGCCTTTTTGTGCAGCTTGACAATGGTCTGTGTTTTAGGAGCTGGGTCTAGAATATTATTATATTTGTATTCCAGGGCATCTCTTGCTCACGTTCCTTTTTTATATTATTTATCTACCCATAAAAAATGAACACATTAATTAGGCAATTTCCTAGGGTTATATTTCAAGAGGATCTGGTTTAAGTGTTCCTACATTGTTGTTAGTGCCCTTATGTGAGTTACAATGGAGAATTGTTTTTGTAATTATATATATATATATATATATTTTTTTTTAAGATTTTATTTGTTTTCAGAGAGGAAGGGAAGGAGAAAGAAAGGGAGAGAAACATCAGTGTGTGCTTGCCTCTTGCGTGCCCCCTACTGGGGACCTGGCCCACAATCTAAGCATGTGCCCTGAAAGGAAATTGAACTAGTGACCCTTTGGTTTGCTGGCTGGCACTCAGTTTACTGAGCCACACCAGCAAGGGCCTATGTTATTGTTTATGCTAATACAGTTGTCCCAGTTTTTCCCCCTTTGTGCTCCTCCACCCAACCCCCTCCCCCATTCCCTCAGGCAATCCCCACACTGTTGTTCATGGCCGTGGATCATGGATATGTGTTCTTTGGCTACTCTGTTTCCTATGCTGTACTTACATTCCCATGACTATTTCATAACTACCAATTTGTGCTTCTTAATCCCTTCAACTTTTTCACCCACCTCCCCCAACACCCACCCATCAGGCAACCATCAAAGCATTCTCTGTATCTATGATTCTGTTTTTGTTCTGTTTGTTTATTTTGTTTTTTAGATTCAATTGTTGATAGACATTTGTTTATTGCCATTTTATTGTTCATGTTTTAAACTTCTTCTTAAAGAAGACCTTTTAACATTTCATATAATACTGGTTTGGTGGTGATGAAACTCCTTTAGCTTTTTCTTGTCTGGGAAGCTCTTTATCTGTCCTTCAATTATAAATTATAGCTTTGCTGGCTAGAATAATCTTGGTTGAAGTTCTTTGCTTTTTACCACTTTAAATATTTTGTGCTACTCCCTTCTGGCCTGTGAAGTTTCTTTGAGAAATGAGCTGACGGTCTTATGGGGGCTCCCTTGTAGGTAACTATCTGCTTTTCTCTTGCTCCTTTTCAGATTCTCTTTTTGTATTTAACCTTTGGCATTTTAATTATGATGTGTCTTGGAATGAGCCTCTTTTGCATCCATCTTGTTTGCGACTCTCTGTGCTTCCTGGACTTGCATGTCTATTTCCTTCACCAAGCTAGGGAAGTTTTCCTTCATTATTTTTTCAAATAAGTTTCCAATTTCTTGCACTCTCTCTTTTTTTTCTGGCACCCCTATAGTGCAGCATCCTGAGTTACAATGGCAAATTGGCAAATTCTACATCCCAAGATTACCTTTGTAGTCCATACTCAAACATCTCTATGTTTAATACATATTAATTTTATTATTTAGTTCAAGGAATATTATATCAATAGTTTTGAAAACACATACTCATGTAATGTAGTCTGAAGCCCAACATAGAACTTTCTGCTAGATTGATGTCAGCATTTATCCTACTATAGCAGTATGACTAAAAATTCAATTATAATGTGCCTGCTTTAATTTTTAAATTATATGTACTTATATATTGAAAGATCAATGCAGGTAGTCACAAAGACCAGGATTTAAGATCATAATTACATTTAGTTTAGGTCTCAAATTTTAGAACAACTTAGGTTGTTAGTTTAACATGTTCAAATTGGTATGGTAATGAGTAGTTTTTTCTTTGAGTCATTGTATTCCTCTCATGCTCAAGTTCCTTCCTGAAAAACATCCCTGATACCCCAGTTTTTCCTAGAA